ATCCGTCGACGATCAAAAATCAGGGACGCTGTCTCGTTTGCCAAGGTGTTAAAAATCAGATGGGCTGGTCACATAATGAGATTTAAAGATGACCGCTGGACTAGAGCTATTACTGACTGGATTCCATGGGATGTCAAAAGACCGTGTGGCCGCCCACCTACCAGATGGTCAGATTTCTTCATCAAGATCATGAACGATCTGTTTAAGGCTCTTCATGTTCCCAGAGCAAACAGATGCCATTGGGCTACACTAGCACGCGACAGGGACAAATGGAGACGTTACTGGCGCCCGCTCAATCAAATCGACGACTATCGGAAAGTTAAGTGATTAAGTGATTTGTGAAACACCATGAGATACAATTGTAGACTCACAAATTTTTGTGCTTGGGTTTCAGTTATACAATGATCAAATACCCATCCCTCCATCAGTGCCCATTTTCCACCACCACCAGTCCCAGTATCCCTCCCACCCCCCAATCTCCCATCCCACCCTGCCTCTGTGGCAGGGCATTCCCTTTTGTTCTCTATCTCCTTTGGGTGTTGTGGTTTGCATTGAGTGGCAATCATGTTTGGTCTATATGAGACTTTATTTTCAATGTCCATGTGCCATGTTTTGTTCATGTGATCGTTTTTGGTTGTTTGCTTCTTTTTTGCTTTGTTTTTTGGTTTGCCTTCTCAATCCCGTTTCTTATGTGCTTGTCTCTGTGTCTCTCTGCTTGATCTCAAGGTTGTGTTCTTTCTAAAATACCTTTTCCTTTCCTTCTCCCCCCTTCATACCTTCCTAAGTTTCATTCAATAAAAATTATCTTGCTTCACTAAAATAAAATCTTGGACTAAAGAAAAAGAAAACATAAGAAGTCTTAGAACTTTTAGGCATCCCATAATAATTGTTCTCTCTACTCATGGATAGAGAATGAATTAGGCCTATTTGGTGTGCTGAAACTTCATGGGAAGCATTGTCACAGGAATGTATGAAAATGGCAAAGGAAACTATCCCTTCCTTCGGTCCCCTCCCCTGCTGACCATAATCATCAGGCAGTAGTTAAAGAAAAGTGATCTTCATTCCTGTTCAGTAACAATGAGTGAAATCAGAGGGGCCTGAGCCATAGTACAGTGGGTAGGGCACTTGCCTCGCATTTAGTCAAGTGGGTTCAATTCCTGGCACCCTGTATGGTTCTTTGAACCTGCATCCCATATGGTCCCCCGAGCACCGCCAGGAGTAATTCCTGAGTGCACGAGCCAGGAGTAACCCCTGTGCATTGCCGGGTGTGACCCAAAAAGAAAAAAAATGTGATGGGGACTGAGCAAATGAAACTGACCCCCAAATTAGACAAGAGAAGAGAGAAACATTCCTTTTATGACCCCAATTAGTGGAGTTAAGGCCCACCCACCCACCGGATGGATTTCTGGGAGTGGACTGAACCCAACAGATTTATGGGAACGCAAGGGAGACACCCCTGAAGGCTGCAACAAGTGAGCAAGATACACTGACACGGTTGCTTTCCCTTTGAGCGCCTGAAGGCGATACCATGTGGGAAAGATGCACTAATTGTTTTTTGCCAATTACCTCTGTAACTCCTGTTTTACTGACAAGAATGTACCTAGTTTGTAGCACATCTTTGGAGGATAAAAGGGAGACCCCTCAGCAAACGGGGCTCCAAGTCTCTTTCTCTTCTGACTTATTAGGGTCCTCAGCGCTGAGCCTCTAATAAACTCACTATCCTATCCTTAGCACTTTTGCGCTCTCTCTCTCTCTCTCTCTCTGTTTGCTAGAGGCTCGCACCAGCACAACACCAGCGAAGCCCTGAACATCATCAAGGTGTTTCCCAGTTTGACCTTTCCACCAAATTATTCTCTCTCCTCTTCAATAGATTTTTTATTTTAAAAATACAATGGAGGGGCTGAAGCGATAGCGCCGCGGGTAGGGTGTTTGCCTTGCACGCGGCCGACCAGGGTTCGGTTCCCAGCATCCCATATGGTCCCCCAAGCACCGCCAGGACTCATTCCTGAGTGCAGAGCCACGAGTAACCCCTGAGCATCACCTAGTGTGACCCCAAAAGCAAAATATAAAAAAAAGGAAAGTCAATATTTGTTATACTAAAACACCCCATTTATGAAAAGTCAATATTTGTTAGACCAAAACTTGAACTCTATTGTGTAATCTCCGGGCGACTGGGGACCCCCCTACTGCCTGGCTCGTCGCCCTTGTTAGGTGGACTCCGGCCACTTCCCGGCCCCCCACGGCCGATGCCATGGGCAGATGAAGGAGGAAACGAGACCTGCCAAGCTGGTTGGTGAGAAGTTGCAATTTATTCCATTTTCCCACGCGCCTGTTCCAGTCTCTGTAAGGCCCTCACTTGAGTCTCACACTGGCCCTCATTCCCATCTCCTCCCATCTCTCCCGCTCATCTCTCCTCTCTTCCTCTACAAGCCGCGTCTCTTGTCTCTCCACGTGCCTGCTCCTGCATTCTTCCCCCACATTCTTCTCCCACTGTCCCCCTTGCTAGTCTCTCTGCGCTCCATCTCACAGCCTGGTCTCTCTCTAGTCTCTTTCCAACTCCAGCATTGGGGGTAGGCACCACACCCTGTCTGGTAGCAAAATCAACGTGTGATCAGGCTCAATGGCCCAAATACCACCTAAGGCTGTTTCTCCTCTCCTTAGTCCAATAACTTAATTGACATCTTAATTGGAGCGATAGCACAGCGGGTAGGGCGTTCGCCTTACAAGCGGCCAACATGGCCGACCCGAGTTCGATTCCTCCGCCCCTCTCGGGGAGCCCGGCAAGCTACCGAGAGTATTCGATATGCCAGACACAGTAACAACAAAGTCTCCAATGGAGACGTTACTGTGCCCGCTCGAGCAAATCGACGATCAACGGGAGGACCTTTAGTTTTTAATATTAGTTATTTTGTATGGACACAGTAAGAGATACATTAAGCTTGTAGGTGGCTCTCCTGGGGAGCTCTCGCTATAGGTCTCAGACTATAGTGCTCAGGCTAGGTTAATCTTTCCTAACCCTAGCAGGGTCCTATCTAGTGGTTACTTTTTGGATCATGACAGAATTTGTCCATGACCATGCTCTTAACTTACAGTTAAGTATTATGGTGCTTTGGCCAGTCCCATTTCAATGCAGGGTAGCTCACTGCTTGCTCTGGGTCTATGCAGTCCCTTGTCGAGACCCTGCTTTTGGGGTGCTAGGAAGTAAGGGCAACTGAGGCTTAAGTGGAGAGAACAGATGCCCAGGACTGAATTATCAGCTGGAGTCAATTAACTCCCAAATTACAAAAGCATAGCATTAACTGTCTTCTTGTGTCTGTACAAAAAGGATATTGCTCTGAATTAACTATGCAAAGGACTTAAGAAGAAGAGAAACGCAATATTTACAAGTCAACAGAGCACAAAGAAAGAGGTTACAAATAAACACAGAGGAATGGGAGCACTATGATTTGAATAACCCAATAAAACCAAGCTCCCCGTGGCACGCAGAAAGGACAACCAATGTTATCCTACACTCTAGTACTTGTCATTGGTTTGCTCTTATACAGGAAAAGGAGAGATTCTTAGGATTTTCCCTGAATGGTTGGGGATGTTACTAAGTGACCTAGTCTTACCTCAGGAGTATTGTGCAAAGAGGGACTCCTTAGAGTCACTGGGGAGAGTCCGGCTCTCTCTCTGTGCCTGAGCTCTCCTGCCCAGACAGAGCAGAGGTTCCGGTTCAGCAGAGTGGGGTCTGCACATGAAAGTTTTGAACTGATCTACGCCCAGTGTGGCACAATAGGGATGCATGTTCAATTTCTCTAAGACCTTTCCCCCTCTTCCCTTCTTTGTGTTTGCTCTTTCTATGACTCCACGGTCACACACATCCTTGGCACATGTATATGTGGTTGTGGTGCTCACTGTGGACAGTCTCAGTTTAAACTATTTGTCTTTTCCCCAGAAACCAGGGACCCAGTCCCGTCACGGCAGCATTTTCAGCTTCAGTACACACTTCCATTGGCCCAGGTCTTCCTTTGGTCTGTCCTTGTAGCCACCGTGTTCTCTCCTCCCAATGGCTACTATACCAAGTGGAGCTTCTACCAAGTGAATAATGGTGCTGACATCCCAGCAGCCTAAGATCAACTACAACAAGCAACCTTCCAGCTGACCGATGCTCAAGGCAAGACAGATCTAAGAGGGGTTCTCCTCACAGGCCTTCAGGGCTAGATTGTGCCCCAGAAGTTTTACACACACACACACACACACACACACACACACACACACACACACCACACACACACACACACACTTTTTTGTGGCAATTATATTCTAACCGTCTCTGAATACTAAATTAATAAACATGAATAGAGCTCCTAGAGGAAATATGGGGCAACATTCCTACAGATCGTGGATCACCTATTTTTGTGAGACAATTCCCACAAAACCTTCCTCCCTTTATGTATTTCTGTTGGTTTATTAACACGGAACAGAGTCCAACAGCATTGTAGCTCCTGTCTCGATTAATATCACACACTTTTTTGACTTGTTTTGCTTTTTGTGCCACAACGGGCAGTGCTCGAGGGCTGCCTCTGACTCAGTTCTCGGGGATTGCTCCTGGCAGTGCTTGGGGGAACATGTGGTGTAGGACCAAACCTAGGCCTCTTGTATGGAAAGCATGCACTCCAGCCCCTTGAGCCATCTCTGCTCCATAACCTTCTTAAACGGAGGCGAAGCAGGCGGAGGCCACGGTGCCAATGCTCTTGCTTAACTCGGGCTCAGAACGTGCAAAGGTCGTACGTCACAGTCCCGAATCCCCACAGAACAGTCCACCGAAGCCTCTGCGCACGCGCGGGCGCTTCCACGCCCCGGCCCCGCCCCCGACACGCCCCCTTACCCGCCCGCCCCGGCACCGGCCCTTAATCTCCCCGCCCCCGACACGCCCCCGACACGCCCAGCTTGGCCCCGCCCCGCCCCGCGACGGGCTACTTTGGGCGTCGCGGAACGGCCGCGGTCTGTCTGCGTCTGCGCTCGCCGAGCCTGTCAGATCGTCCTTGCTGGTCTCCGCGCGCTCCGAGCCATGACTTCTGCAGCCTTAGCGCAGATCCCTCGGCCCCTGCGCCGGGTGTTCGTGGTGGGGGTTGGGATGACCAAGGTAAACAGAGTAGTGGGCCCTCGGGGGCCCCACCGAGTCCCCAGAGGCCGGGTCCGGGGCTGGTGCCAGGCCTGCAGGGGCTCTGCGGCCAAGTCCTGCCCGCCCGGAGCGCGCGGCGGGGCGGGTGTTGGGCAGGGACCGTCCCGTGGCCCGCTGTCTCCCGGGGTCAGAGTCTGGGAAGGACGGCCCGGGAGAAGCCAGCCTGCCCCCGGCCAGCGGCACGGTGACCTCCTGCGGGGACTGTCGCGCAGGGCGCTCTCCACGACGCTGGCCGCGAGCCCCCCGCCGCCGCGCCTCTTGAGGTGCTGCAGCGGAGTCCAGGAGGCCCTGCAGTCTCGTTCCTACCTGACTGCTTTGCGGGGCACACCGCGTTGTTTTCTGTTGGTTCTCTAGCCCCCTGGGAAGTAGATGCACTTCTTTTTCTTTCAATCGGGATGGTGTTGGGCTGGAGCGATAGCACAGTGGGTAGGGCGTTTGCCTTGCACGCAGCCAACCAGGGTTCGAATCCCAGCATCCCGTGTGGTCCCCTGAGCACTGCCAGGAGTCATTCCTGAGTGCATGAGCCTGGAGTAACCCCAGTGCAACGCCGGGTGTTAATGAAAAAATATAAATTGGGATGGTGTTACAGTGCTGCGAGCAGAGATTGGGAGTATGAAGAGCAGATTTATTGATATATATCAATATCTATCTATCCATCTGTAATTTTTTGTTTCCCCACAGGCAGGGGTCTAACCGAGCCTCCAGCGAGGCACACTCTCTCTAGTCCTAGCAGTCTCAAGTTTTGACACCTCCCACCTCCCACCCTCTAGCCTGGCCCAACCCTCCTTTTCTCGGGCTCAGAGTAGCACTGTAGCACTGTACTTCCGTGGTTCATGGTCCCACAAGATTTTATTCCTCCATTGTTGATCCTCACTCCTTGCACCGTTTGCTTGTCATCTCTTGGTTAATTTCTTTGTTTTAAAGAGACCAGATCTTTTCTCCTGCAAGAAACCTCTTACCTTCCCGATTTCCCCGTGGAAAATATATTTAACTATATTTAACTCTCTCTTCATACCGAAATAGGCTTTCCCGAAAGTCTTTTGATATGTCTGTATTGCTCCAGAGCATGGAAGTTCTTCCAAGTTCCTTGTCATTCCTCTCTATACCTCTAGCTCCCTGAGAAGTGCCTATTGCTTTACGATTGGATTCAGGGACTGCTAGTTGAGTAATACTAAGGGGATGTGTTTTGTGAAATAGTCTCTAGGCAACGTTTTCTTTCTGAGATACCTGCAGTAAGTTTTTTGTTCTTGTTGTTTTACGAATGAGCTGAATACACAATTCAGTCAAAATGTGTACCTAGAAAAGTCAGCAAGTACATTATAGCGCTGTAGCACTGTCCTTCTGTTGTTCATCGATTTTGCTTGAGCGGGGCCCAGTAACATCTCCATTGTGAGACTTCTTGTTACTGTGTTTGGCATATGGAATACTTCACAGGTAGCTTGCCAGGCTTTGCCGTGCGGGCAAGATATTCTCAGTAGCTTGCCAGGCTCTCCGAGAGGGGCAGAGGAATTGAACCCGGGTCGGCCGGCCCAGCCGCATGCAAGGCAAATGCCCTACCGCTGTGCTATTTATAAAGCAGAAATTGAGGATAACCCCTTGTTTCATGAAAGAGGGGATTTGTTTTTTGGTGGGGAAGTTTGGGCCACACCTGGTGTTGCTTAGGGGCTGCTTCTTTGCTCAGAGGTTACTCCTAGCTCAAGGGACCATATGTGGTACTGGAGATCCAAGTGACATCAGCCCATGCAAAGCAAGCACCTTTTTTCCTTTCTGGATAGCAGACCAAAGGGACTTCCTCTTCTTTCAAAAAAGTTTTTTTTTTTTTTAAATTCTACTGATTTGCCATCATAAACCTATGTTGATAACATAAAATTTCTGTATTACAGCTTCATATCCAAGAGGGATGTCTGATTTGGGTGGGTCACACATATTAAGAAAAATATGTAGTGGGCAGAATGATAGTACAGCAAATAGGACATTTGTTTGCCTTGCACATGGTGGCTGACCCAGATTCTATCCCTGGCATCCTATATGGTCCTCTGAGCACTGTCAGCAGTGATTTCTGACTGCAAAGCAGGGAGTAACCCCTGAGCACCGCTGGGTGTAGCCCAAAAACAGAAAAAAAAAAAAAAGAAAAGAAAATATGCTTTTATACCACAGTCACACAGTTAACAATCCATTAGTTATTGGATGTCTGATTCAATTGGCTGCCTAGAAAAGCCCAGAGTTTCTTAACTCCTTGGGAGGTAGATGCATTTCTTTTTCCTTGAATTGGGATGGTGTACTGTGAGAAAAGATTGGGAGTATGAAGAGCAGATTTATAATATATATAATTAGTTTATAATTATCATATAATTTGTTTAAAATACATATAATTTGTCTTTTGGGCCATACCCAGCTATGCTCAAGGCTTATTCCTGGCCCTGTGCTCAGGAATCACTCCTGGTGGTGCTTGGGGGGGGCATATGGGGTGCAGGGGATCGAACCTGGGTTGGCTACAGTATTCACTGTACTATTACTCTGGCCCCTGAGCTCTGATTTAATTTAAAATTGAGATTTAGTAATACAAGGAGAATGGGAAAGTGTAAAATGTATGTGTGTAGGGGCCTTAGACCTAATTTTCATGTACTCTTATTGGAGATTCTGATAAAATTTTCAAAATTTTTCTTTTTGTTTTTTGTTTTTGCTTTGGGGCCACATCTGGCAATGCTCAGGGGTTACTCTTGGCTCTCAGGAATCACTCCTGGTGGTGCTCTGGGAACCATATGGGATGATGCTGGAGATTGAACCCTGATTGGCTGGATTTAAGGAAAGCACCTTACCCATTATACTATCTCTCCAGGCCATAATTTTCTTTAATTTTAAATTTTGTTTTTGGCCACATGCAGCAGTGTTCAGGGCTAACTTCTGATTCCATGCTCAGTGATTACTCCTGGCAGGGCTTGGGGGACCATATACTGTGCTGGGACTTGATTGGGTTAGGTGCATGCAAGATGAACATCCTATCCCCTGTATCATCTCTGGTCCTGTGGTAATATTTGTTTTTGCAGAGTGTCCTGCCTTGATCAAGGAACTGTTCCTGGCTCTATGCTCATGAGTCAGTCCAAACTGTGTTCAGGGAACCATGTGGTGCTGGGGCTCAAATCCAGGCCTCCTGTATGCAAAGCATGTGTTCAGCCTGTTCAGCTATTTAATTCATACTTCAGTTTCTCTGGGAAGCCTTTCTAGACCTCCTTCCAAAACTGGAGAGCTAATAGTAGAGACACGTAGGATTTTAATGGGCAGAGTTGCCTCCATGCGACTAGAGTGTCCAGCACCGTGGACCTAGACTATATAGTACCATCAGTCTGCCTTCTTGTTGCCTGTTATTTCCTTTGGACTGGAAACTTCCTAGGAAACTTCCAAGATATTTTTAGTGGGGTGGGGTTGGAGGATTGGGGGCTGGGTCTGGCAGTTCTCAAGAACTGCTCCTGGCTCTGTGCTCATTCCTGGCTACATATGTGGTGCCAGGTTTCAAACCAGGGCCAGTCACATGTAAGAGTAGGTTAGTGTCTTAACCCTTGTATGATCTCTCTGGCGTAGTTCTTCCTCCCCCTCACCCCTCTTTATTTTTTGAGACCATACCTATTGTGCTCATGAAATTCCTGCCTCTGTTCTCAGAGTCATAGAAGCAGGGCTCAGGGGACCACTTGTGATGCCAGGTATTCGATTAGGATCAATTGCATGCCAGGCAAGTGCCTTAGCCGCTGTACTCTCTTGTACTCACTTTTCGTTCCCCGAGTACTTTCTTTTTGTTACCGGAGTTCAGGAACATAATAGGTACTCATACGTCTTCATTAAAAGGAATAAATAATTTTCTGTGATGCTTTTTTTTTTTTTTTTTTTTGCTTTTTGGATTACACCCAGTGATGCACAGGGGTTACTCCTAGCTCTGCACTCAGGAATTACTCCTGGGGGTGCTCAGGGGATGATATGGGATGCTGAGAATTGAATCCGGGTCAGCCATGTGCAAGGCAAACGCCCCCTGAGAGGCTCTTTTTAGGAGAAAATCTGATTGCATTTGTTCCCATAATTTCCTCTTTCTTTTCTAGTTCTCGAAACCTGGAAATGAGAGTACAGGAGACTACCCTGACTTGGCAAAAGAAGCAGGTAATATGGAATGTTTAGTCTCTGAACATTATAGTTTATTGTGCAGCCTGTTTTTCCTCTCTTTTTAAAAATTTGAATCACCATGAGACACATAGTTAAAAAGTTGTTTTTGATTGAATTTCAATCATACAATGTTCCAACACCAGTCCCTTTACCAATGTATATTTCCTGCCACTGAAGTCCCCAGTTTACCTTCTTCCATCCCCACCAGCCTGCCTCTATGGAAGACACTTTTCTTCTTTCTCTCTCTTTACCTCCTTCAGCACTCAGTTCTTGTCCAGAGTGCTCATTTCCAACTATCATTGTCATAGTGATCTCTTCTCTGTCCTAACTGCACTCCCCCACAACTTGTGGCAAGCTTCCTACCATAGACCGATCCTCCTGGCCCTTGCTTCTACTGTCATTGGGCATTATTCTCATATTATTCTCATGTCATGTTTGTTTATGTATATGTGTATGTTTTTTTCCCACAAATAAGTGCGATCATTCTATGTCTGTCCCGGACACATTTCACTGAGAATGATACTCTCCATGTTCATCCATGTATAGGCAGATTTCATGACTTCATTTTTCCTGGAGGCTGCGTAGTATTCCATTGTTAGATGTACCATAGTTTCTTTATCCTGACATCTGTTCTCAGGCACTTGGTTGTTTCCCAGATTTTGGTTCCTGTGAATAGTACTGTATAGCCTGTTTCGATAGTGGAGCAACTTTGCAGCACTAAAAGGAATCCAGTCAAGGAAGAAGAAACTGTGTAGACAATTGCCTGGTGCTCACTGGAAAGGACGGAGGGGAAGGAGCTTGGGCATTCTTTTTTGTTTTTGTTTTTGGGTCGCCCCCAGTGATGGTCAGGGGTTGCTCCTGGCTCTGTGATCAGAAGTTACTTCTTTTCTTTTTTTTTTTTTTTAATTTTTATTAGTGAGACACCATGAGGTACAGTTGTAGACTTATAAATCTCCCCCCAAGCATATGATCATCTAACCTTTGATAAGGGGGCAAGAAAAGTGAAGTGGAGCAAGGAAAGCCTCTTTAACAAATAGTTCTGGCAAAACTGGACGGCTACATGCAAAAAAGTGGGCTCAGATCTCTGCCTAATGCCATGTACAAAAGTAAGATCAAAATGAATTAAAGACCTCAACATCAGACCAGAATCCATAAGGCATATTGAAGAAAAAGTTGGCAAAACCCTCCATGACATTGAAGCTAATGGTGTCTTCAAAGATGTCACGCCACTGGCCAAGCAAGTGAAAACAGAGATAGACAAATGGGACTATCTTAAACTAAGAAGCTTCTGCACCTCAAAAGAAACAGTGACCAAAATACAAAGACAGTCTACAGAAATTACTTCTGTTGGCTCTCAGGGGACTATTTGTTGGGAACTGAACTCGGGTAAGGTCACATGCAAAGCAAGTGTCCTACTCCCTATTGTACTCTCTTTCTGGCCCTGAGACCTTGGGCGTTCTTTGCTAGTTCACTTGAGCAGATAGTGGCTTATGATGTCTGATGTTTTGTGCTATCCAGCTGTTTGTTGGGTCCAAAGAGCTCTGTGGGAGAGAAAGATAGGGAAATGGTCAGCTTGGGCCTCTGAAATAAGAACACAGGGTTAGGGTTAGGTAAAGACAGAAATAGCGTCTTTAATTTTCAGAAGAGAGAACAGCATTCAGAATGCATCCTACGGTGGCGATAAATGATCGCAACAGCAAAAAAATCACCACAGAGATAATGAAAAACATCTTGTGGTAGTTTTCCCACTCTCTTTTTGTGGATGGGGTGCATTGTGTGCTCCATCTGTTGCTGCGGGAGGCTCCTCCTGACTTGTGGTCTGCTGCATGCAAGGCAAGTATGTTGACCTTTCTGGCTTGTTTTTTTCCTTTTTTCTTTTTTTCCTCCCTATTTCGCTGAACTCTTATAGAAAAAAATTCTTTTCTATTACCAGGCTGATGTGTGACTTACTGAGGTGGTGGAATTGTTACTGTGTATTCTCCTGGGTGTTTAAACTGTTCAGCGAAAAATTGGGTGAATGCTAGTAACTGGGATCTCGGAGACAATTGTTGAGATTTGTGGTCCTTGTTCTGGAGATGTTCTTCAGGAGCTGGCACCAGGCTTCAGCTGGTTAAATCGTGGATCTGAATTTTGGCAGAGACCATTCTTGGTTGTTTTCTCAAAAACCAAACCAAAGACTGAGGTTAGATCTCTAGGCTTCTTTGCATGGTGGGAGTAAATTGAGGCCCAGAGCCACTCTCTGCTTAGTTGTCAGTTGTTTCAGGGAATGCTGCAAAGTGTCACTTTCCAGCTCCTTGCTCCCATGAAACTCTTAAGCACGCTTCTCCTCCTGGAACGTCTTGGTGTGCCTGCTAGCTGGGGTCTAGGAACATTCAGAGTTACTGTGGTTAATCATAAGACAGCCCTTGTTATCTCTGAGAGGATCAGTATTTTGTTTCCAGTGGATATTATTATTCAAGCCAGCATTTCTTTAGATGTTACTAAACAGGGAGTTGGAGCATCTCGATCTCCGATCTCCGGAAGACTGGTTTAGGAGGTTCCATTCACTGCGGTTGATTCCCTGGTGGATTCCTTTTTTATTTCTTTTTTTGGTCACACCCAGGAGTGCTCAGGAGCAACTCGCAGGGATCTGTCTGACCCTGAAGTTATTCAGTTACTGTTGGTGTCTTTTTTGTTATTAAACATTCTCCTCGGGACTCTTGTCTCCAAGCAGCATCTACCTTTTTCTGAAGTGGGAAATACTTTAATTAGTTCTTCGTTGGTTTGGGCGTCACACTGTGAGATGCTCAGGATTTACACCTGTCTCTGCTCAGAGATCAGTCTTGGTGGTATTCATGGGGACCACCCGTGATGCTGGGGATGGAACCTGGGTTGGTCTTGTGCAAGTCAAGTGCCTTAACCACTGGACTGTTTTCTGGTCCATTTTTGTTTGAATTTTCTTCTTTTCTCTTCTTAACATCTTTGCATCTTTAATTCCATGTTTAAGCCTTATGGACATTTAGGTTTGCCACTTTTGATATTTTTGAATTCTAAACAGAACATCTGTCTTGGAGTTAGGTGCACATTCAGAGCATTGAACCCAGGCCTCCTGTGTGCACCCCGGCCCTTTGAGCTATCTCCCCAGCCTCTAATAGACATTTTAGTAAATATTTGTCCTCAGCTTTAGTTATTTTTGAGAACAGAGGCTAGAAGTAGACTCTTAAGCAGAGTGGGTATGAATAATTTTGGGCTGTATTTTTATTTGCTTGTTTGTTTTTTGGGGGGTGTCACACCAGTGTGTGGGACCGTTTCCTCTCTCTGTGCTCAGGAGCCACTCGCAGTGGTGCTTGGGGACCATTTGGTGTGGGGGTCAAACTGGGTCTCCTCTATGCAAAGCATGTGTTCCAGCCCTTTGAGCTTTCTCAACGCTTTCCCTGGTTCCTGACTACTCATTCTTATAAAAGACTCTTGCTAGATTATTTTTATACCGTTTGCATTACTCAGTTACTCCCCTGCTCTTTTCTGTGCCTTGGCACAGCAGTCTTACAGCTCCATTTCTTGATCCCTGCTTTGTAAGATGACCACATGAGTGGCCCTCCACCCCGCTGGTGACTTATTATCCAGCGTTGCCCTGTGGAGGTGTGATGGGGCCACAGAGATGAAGACAATAAAGACCTGGCCATTATGGAGCTTGGAATTTAGAGAAGATAATTGAAATAAGTCTAAGACTGTAGACACGTAGAATTTAAGATATTTGTACTTAGGTATACATTTTGGTCACAAAAATATTAAGAATCAAAAAGGAAGTACTCAAAAACATATTTACAGGGTTAGAGGAATGGCTTAGAGTAAGAAATGCTATGTTTTGAAAGGAATGATCTGAGGTGATTAGAAAAAGGATTTGTCCAGGGGCTGGAGTGATAGTATAGTGGGGAGGGCACTTGATCACTGTCACCTTATATGGTCCCCTGAGCATACCAGGAGTGATCCCTATGCACAGAGCCAAGAGTAAGCCCTGAGCACTGCCATGTGTAGCACAAAAATCTAACCAAAAAAAAAAAAAAAAAAAAGGATTTGTTCTTTGAACCAAACATAGGCTAACTACAGAGAGGCAGATTATCTCTGGGAAGACCAGAGTTATTTTTCCCTTCCCCAAACCAAAAGTGTAAGGCACTATTTGATCACCTTGCCTATTCTTCCAGGTCTGAAGGCTTTAGAGGACGCAAAGATCCCTTACTCAGCGGTGGAACAGGCATGTGTTGGCTATGTTTATGGTAAGTGATTAATTATATGCTAAAACAATTGCTACTTCAGTCTAATACCAGTAATTCCCAGGTATTTGTGAACTTCAATTCTCAAAACTAAAAACCCACTCCGATAATTTTTAGGTTTTCTGTATGTGTCCATGTATATGTGTCTGTATGTGTCCATATATAAACATATATGTGTGTGTATATATGTGTGAGTCTCTCTCTCTCTCTCTCTCTCTATATATATATATATATATATATATATGAAAAAATTGGGCTGGAGTGATAGTGCAGTGGGTAGGGTGTTTGCCTTGCACACGGCTGATGACGGTTCAATCCCTAGCACCCAATATGGTCCTCTGAGCCGATCAAGAGTGATCTCTGAGTGCAGCCAAGAGTAACCCCTGAGAACTGCCAGTGTGGACCCAAAACAATAAACCCAAACCAAGTAAAAACAGAAGAAAATATCTCTGCTTGGGGTGGGAATGTTTCTTTTTCTATATATACATATAATGGTTACGGTCCTCCCGTTGTTCATCGATTTGCTCAAGCGGGCCCAGTAACATCTCCATCATGAGACTTGTTGTTACTGTGTTTGGCATATTGAATATGTCACGGGTAGCTTGTCAGCCTCTGCCGTGCGGGCAAGATACTAAAAGAAATATATATATAAAATATAAAAAAGATAAATATAAAATACATATATATATACATATACATATTTTGTCCTTTTGAATCATACCCAGTGATGCTCAGGGGTTACTTCTGCCACTGCACTCAGGAATTACTCCGGGTGATGCTGGGGGGGCAGGGGGCATATGGAATGCTGGGGATTGAACCTGGGTAGTCTGCTTGCAAGGCAGAAGCCCTGCCCTCTATATTATCGCTCCAGCCCCAACTTCTTTGATATTGTTATATCTTCTTTGTAGCGGGTGGGTGGTGGTCTGAGGATTATACTTGGTGGTCTTAGGGGTTATTCTAGGTTCTTCATAGGGTACTTTGTGATGCCAGGGATCAAACCCAGCTCTCTAGCATGTAAAGCATGCATTCAGTCTGTTAAATGATCTCTTTAGCCCAAGAAATTATAGGTAGATGTGAGTACCTTTGTGTGTGTGTGGGGGGGGGGGGGGTGGGGGTGGTGTCAGGGATTGAACCCAGGGCTTTACACATACAAGGAAAGCATTCTACCACTGAGCTGTAGCTCCAACCCTTGGGTATCATATCTCTAGCCAGATTGAATTGTTTACTTTTACTTGATCTGCTGTCCTATCTGCATTACATAAAAATTGTGCATATGTACTATGTGTTCCGAGAAGTATTGATGATGATGATGATAATTTTGGTGTTGGGAGCCAAACCTGATTGTGCTTGGGGCTTATTTCTGGCTCTGCTTCAGGGATCACTCCTGTCAGGGCTCAGGAGACCAGATACGGTACCAGGATCAAACTCCGGCCAGCTGTGCGCCAGGCAAGCACTTCATCCACCTTACTATCTCTCCTGTCCTTAGAATATTGTTTTTATGTGCAAACTAGGTGATGCTGGTTTCTAATTAAAATGTCAATAGCGATTTTATTTTCCTGCTCATGGAGTTTGCAAGGAAAAGGCTCAATAATATTGAGGAAGCCGTAATGCTGTATTGATGACATCGTATTACCAATCCATAATTCTCGAGTTGCAGTTTAAATTTCCTTTTCTCCGTAGGCGACTCCACCAGCGGGCAGAGGGCCATTTACCACAGCCTGGGACTCACTGGAATCCCCATCATCAACGTCAACAATAACTGTGCCACTGGCTCCACCGCCTTGTTCATGGCCCGGCAGCTGATCCAGGGGGGTGAGTCACGTGGCTTTCCCTGGTGCTCGCACATGGAGGTGGGGTTGTCGCTCACCATTCCTCATGTCTACATGATCACCAGGCAGATTGCTGTGCAATGAGTTTCTTTCGGAAAGATAAAATCATAATAGTTTTGAGCCAGGAGGTGACTGTAGTAGTGGAGCCGGTGTGAAGTCCTGGGTTTTATCCCTAGCATCACCTATTCCAGAAGCATTGGGTGTGACTCAGGGAGCCCTCAATTGAGCGACAGCCAGATCTTGCTCCTATTAAAACAGTTAATTTGGGGGCTGGAGTGATAGTACTGCAGATACAGCTCTCGCCTTGCTTTGAACCCTGGCACTAAATATGTTCCCCCAAGCATGGCCAGGAGTGATCCTAGAGCACAGAGCCAGGAGTAAGCTCTAAGCACAGCTAGATTATGACTCCCAATCAAATAAGTGTTAATAAATAAATAGCAAAAAGTGTAGGGGCGAGGGAGATGGATGAGAGGACCAGAGCACATGCCCTGCACTGCCTGGTTCCCTGCACTCCTCATGAGAGCTCTCCTGGACGTGGCCCCAAGCACACATGGTTCCCGTGCTGGGGTACAGCTGTGCAGTGCGAGGCTGCTTCTCTTGCATGTGTGAGGCTCTGGGTTGAGTCCTGACACTGTTTTTTTTTAATTGGAATGTAATTTACAAATAATAAATTTCACACTCTCTATTTGGGCCTCTCGTGCCTTGCTCAGAAGACTTGAGGGCCCCACCAGAAATTCTTAGTTAACTGAACCTGTTGTTCCAATATCGGGGCCCAAGGAAGTGGTGCTGCTGCTCAGGCCCTGTGCATCCGAGCTTATTCCTGACTCTGCTCTATGCTTAGGGGTGGGGGCTTTATGGTCTCTTATGGGGACCAGGGATCAAACTTGGGCCTCCTGCATGCTAGGCACTTGCCTTAATCCAAATATTATCTCCCTGGCCGCTGTTACTCTGTTTTTAATAATATTGACATAAATATTACTGTATATTTTCTTGTTGATATCATGTTTTAACTCTCTTAGGTATGTATTATGTTCTACAACTTCAAATAATTTAGACCTTATAGTAATAATCCGGCCTTATGTTGACTGTTGATTACTGTTCATTTAAAAATATTATTATTATCATCATTATTATTATTGCCACATCTGGCAGTGTTCAGGGCTTACTCCTGGCTCTGTGCTCAGGGATCACTCCCGGCTGTGCTTGGCGGACTATATGTGGTGTTGGGGATTGAACCCAGATCTGCCACATGCAAGGCATGAGCTCTATCTGTTTTATTATTGCACGGACCCCAACATTTTGAATGTTGGAACTTTATAGTGTCTGAATATTTGATAATGCTCATACCCTTTAATTTTTAACCTTGTTCTTTTTTAAAATTTATTTTGGGGTTCCCTGCCTGGCACTACTCAGAAGGGACTGTTCAGACCTCTGTATTCAGGGGTTTCTCTTCCATATCGTATTATGGATCAGTATTCTGTTATTAGCTTCTGTTTGGGATTCTGTCATGTATGCATCTGCATCAGAGCCTGTGCTCAGCCCTTTGAACCGTCTCTCCATCCCACTTGCTGTGTTCTTTTGCTTTTTTGAGAGGTGAAGGGGGTATACATCCTATAGAGCCTGGTTAATTCTGACTCTATTCTGGTGTTAGTCCCAGCAAATTTGGGGGACCTGTTACCCCAGATAGAACCTGGGTCTCCTGCATGCAAAATGTATGCTCAGTTCATTGAGGTCTCTCTCTGGCTCCTACTTTTACTTAAGGTTTGGCAGAGGCGGGCAATTTTCTCTTGTTTGCTCTCCAGTTAACTTTTTTGTTTATTTTGGGCCATTTTCATAGCTCAGGGTGTGAGATTCTGCTCAGGGGCTATTCCTGGCCCTTTTCTGGGGAGTGATCCCTAAAGTGCTCCGTGGGGTCCCAGGGATTCAAATCTACGACATGCAAGGCAAGCACTTTATTTCCTATACAGTCTCTCTGGCCTGAACTTTTACTTTTTGTTTCTTTGTTTTTGTTTTTGGGCCATACCTGGTAGCACTCAGGGGCTAATCCTGACCCTGTTCTCAGGAGTGTCCCTTGGCGGTGTAGTAGGGAATCGATATGGTGCCTCACATTGGAACTGGGGTTGATGAGATTCAAGGAAAATTCTCTTGGAATTTATATCTCCTGGACTATATCTCCAGCCTCCCCCAAAATGTCTTTTTATATTTGTTCTTCATTCAACTATCTCCATATTAATCAGTTTTTTTTTTTTAAAAAATATTGAGGCTCAGAGTAAGAAATAAACACTTTCTTGGTATTTCCCCTTACTTAAAAACATATAAAGATTTTCTCTAATTTCTCACCTACTAAAATATTTGTTGGTTTATTATATGTTTTCCTATCATATATAAATTTACATAATTGTTTAAGTTGAGGGGTTTAATGCGATTTTGTTGAATGCCTTTAAATGTAAATTCTCAATTTAATTGCATTGTCTTTAAAGGTGTAGCCAATTGTGTCCTGGCTCTTGGATTTGAGAAGATGAGTAAAGGGTCCCTCCAACCGGGAGTGAGTGTTCACCTTGGAGTTACTGTTCGAGCACTGTGAGATTTTGCCCATCAGACTACCTTACATGAGTCCTGATAAACAACACAGAATATCATTTGGCACAATTTTTTAATGAGCTGATCTAGTTCAAAAGCTTAAAGATGAGATTGTATATGTAATGCGTATCCTGGTATTTTCTAATAGCAGAGAATTATAAAAATAATTTAGTCAGCCTACTTATTCTGTGAATGATATCACGCATTCTGAGAGGGTAGATGGTTGAAGTTAAGGTTGGTTTATCTATTTCATTTAAAAGTCACCCATACATTCATTTTTTAAAAATCACATTCATTCAACAAAATAAAGAGCATTAATAGAGTGTGGAACTTTAATTTTGGTAATGGCAGACCAGGTTGTTTCAACCAGTTTTCCTAATGGCCAGTAATATATTTGAATATAAACATAGTCCAACTATATTATGTTTATAATTGTATATTCCAGATGTTATGTTTAATAGTCTATTCAATATTATGTTTATAAACTATGTCAAATAAGAATGTGTTTAAATAGACTATACATATAATCTCCCCAAAGCTTCAAAGAACTGATGAGAGGAATTTAGGTAAATTTCGGAGCATGGAGGTCAACATTTGAAGTGGCTTTTGTCAGGAAGGTCTTGGCTAGTCAGAAAACTAAGGGCTTCCTTTTTGTTTGGCCCACCCCAGTGAAAAGGAAAGTAGTCCAAGCACAAGCCTTCCCCAGGTCAAAAGTTTATTAGGCACCCCCACCCCTGCATTGATCTAGGCCCTTGGAGGGGAATGCTGTGACCAACGTTGAACCCAAGGTTCAGCTCTCCTTCTCTCTACAAGCCTGGAATTATGGGAAGAGTTGCCTTGGCATTGAGCAGAACAGTGGGGGGCGAGGGGAGGAAGACAAATGCCCCCCAAACTGTCATTGATAAGTAATAAACCATAAGCTCTCCTTCCAGTAGGCTTATAATCAAATTCTGGGGAGCCTGAATTTTACCACCATATGGTCCCTACCCACCGTTATATCAATGCAGGCCTTTATTTCCTTTTTTGTTTCCTGGATTATTTTCCCCGTGTTCCCCAGCAAAGTATTTTCTGACTGATTTTGACCATTGTCCATACTTCCTTCACTATACATTTAGACCAAGCACATTTCTTAGTAGCAATGTAATAGTGGAGACATTAATCTTGTCAAGTACGAATTTTTACTTTTTCCTTTCTCTCAGCTTTCAGATAGAACTAATCCATTGGATAAACATGTAGAGGCCATGGTTAAGGAGTATGGATTTTCTAAAACACCATTAGCTCCTCAGATGTTTGGGAATGCCGGGAAAGAACACATGAACAAATACGGTATGTTAATAACCTGGGAAGGTGTTTCAACAGCTCTGTACATATGCCAAGATATAGAGGATACAAAATGGCTTTTAAGTTAAGTTGAAAAAAGTTGTGTAGACACATATGTTCCCCAGAGAGCTGTCAGGAGTGATCCTGGAGTGCAGAGTACTACCGGATGTGATCCTCAGAACAAAATAAATAAAATATAAGCTCTAGGAGCAAGACTCCTGTCCTTCTAACTGTTGATTCCTTAGTACCTAATATGGTTCAGAACTTGTTTGTCTTTTGTCTACACCCAGTGGTGCTCAGGGATCATTCCTGACAGGGGACCATGTATGGGTCCTGGGAATTGAACCCAGGTAGGCTGCATGCAAGAAAAACACCTTGCCCACTGTATTATCTCTCCAGTCCTCAAAAGTATTTGTTAAATAAATGATTCTATCAACCTCCCTGAAAAAAAAGAAAAAAGTTGTATAGAATTTAGTCATAAATTCATACATAAAGAAAATATATGTAGGTTATCACCTGGGAAGTATCTAGAATGCTTTCGGGGGTGGGGGATTTGCTCAATTTGCTCGAGCGGGCCCAGTAACGTCTCCATTGGAGACTTTGTTGTTACTGTGTCTGGCATATCGAATACGTCACGGGGAGCTTGCCAGGCCCTGCCGTGCGGGCGAGATACTCTCGGTAGCTTGCCGGGCTCTCCGAGAGGGCAGAGGAATCAAACTCGGGTCGGCCATGTTGGCCGCTTGTAAGGCGAACACGTGGATATTGAACCCAGGGCCTCATACATCTAGGATAAGTGCTCTACTGCTGACTCATCCCTGGGACAATAACCTGAAGTGTTCGAAAATAAGAAATCAGAAAAGGAGTACTTGTTTCCTTCATGGGCTATAGAGAAACTGGGATTTATCAGGTCTGAATTAGAAATGAAGACTGAAACTCCCTCTAGATAATAGGTTTCTGTAGAAAATTTATTCTTAGTATGTGAATCTGTCAGAGTTCCACCATCATCTGTCATGTTGTAGTGTGTTATGGTACTTAAATTTCATAGTTGATTATTTTTATTTTGCAAGTGAACATCCTGGTTTTTTCACTGGAGGACCAACAGTGGTCCTGCCTTAGAATGGAGTGGTGGTGGCAAGGTGTGTGTATGGGGAACGAAGGGGTTCACCCCAAATATTGTTTTATGATACTTGGGGTCACACACCTGGTTTGGTGCTTGGATCACACCCTCTGTGGGGCTCACCAGGTTCTGGGGATGTCCTTGGTGCTATGGAGCAGGATCAGAACCAAATGCAAGCTGGCAGAGTTAGTGCTCTACTGTCTGGCCAGCCACATGCCACCCTCTTCTCTACCCCTTTAATTTCTACTTTTATCTTTGTATGTTTTTATGGGAGGGATTTAATTGACATTGTCAATTTTTTAGTTTCAGGACCATTCCAGGAAATGCTTGGAGGACAGGGACTGTAAGGGGTGAAGGCTCAAACCTGCTCTCTGAGCTTTCATCCTGACCCAATTTTTTCTTTTTAAAATTATTTGTTTGCATTAGGGGTGTAATTTATTTATTTTCTCTTTAATGGTAACTTTATGGAAATGTAATTCACTTGCCATAAAACTCACTCCTTTATTTTATGTTTTAATTTCTTTCTTGAACTGAAATCAGATGCTCATGAATTGATTAAGTGTAGTTATAAATAAATATTTGTGTGAGGAATCAGTATTGACATTTTCAACACTGATATCCATGCAGTGCGGAATGCAGAGCAGGCCAATGAGCACTGTCGCAACATTAGTTGAGAAACGGCAGAAAACCACCCACTAATAAATATTTCCTTTCTCTACAGGAACAACAGCTGAACAGTTAGCAAAAATTGGATGGAAAAATCATAAACATTCTGTTAATAACCCGTAAGTATTTCAGACATGAAATAATGAAAACCTGGCTTCTTCTGCCATGTGGTGTTTGACTTTGTACTTGAAAATCAAATGTGAGACCATAGAGATATTAACTAGAATGTTTCCCCCCATCCTACCCATGCCCATTTGAAAGGTTTGCTGGAATGTGTGCTTGGCATACACGAGGTCTTGAGTTTGACCTGTGGCCTCGCGTAGCCCCTTGAGCATCTCTGCCTGTAGCCCTGGAGACCTCCAGAACTGCTGGCCCCAGCAGCATTGCAGTTCCAGCCTGCACACTGACCTGTCTGGCACGTGCAGCTGGGCTGATGCTTATGCAGGTGGCCCCAGCTCCCATAAGTACAATTGGGAGGCCCCCTAAAAGATACAATAAGCAGTCTTGTGAATGAGGATGTGACTTCAAGGTAGAACACACAAAGGTTCAATTCCCTGGATCATCCTGTTATTCGTTATTCGTCGATTGCCTCGAGCAGGCCCCAGTAACGTCTCTTTCATCCTAGCCCTGAGATTATATTCAAGGCTCTTTAGGAGAATGAGACCCATCATTGTTACTGGTATTTGGCATACTTGGTACGCCACGGGGAGTTTGCCAGACTCTGCCCTGTGGGCAAGCTACATTTGATAGCCTGCAAGTTTGTCCAAAGTAGGAATGAGATAATAAGATGTCATAAAAAGATGTCCTGATAAGATGTCGCGTGGCCGCATTTGCGGCCGCGCGGTTCCGGGAGCCGGATTTTATAGTCTCTGACTCTTGGCCGTTGATGGGATTACACGGCGCCAGGGGGCCAGGTGGTGGGTGTGACCCCCGCCTACTGGAATTTGGAGGATCTGGGTGGAGGATGCTCGACTCCAATCCGAGTAGGCTTGGAGATCTTGGCCCCTGAATCCGTGTGGCTTTGTCCCTCTGCCAGTACCTTCATGTGTGCGGAGAGTGGTCTCAGCATGGTGGTGGCTGGTCCTGGAGGTCTTCAGCTGCCGGAGCCCTGGTCGGGGCGGGGAGGAAAGCTCAACCCGCTCCCCTCCAAGGGACCCCGGCGAGGAACAGCCAGGCGCAGGGGCAGGAGACTGCATCATCCAAAAGAGCGAAAGAGAGAAAACCAAAAAAAAAAAAAAAAAGAAGACTTGGACCTGAGTAAACTTTGGATGACTTTGCAGTTTTGGTTTTCAAGCTGTTTACATCTAGACAAGTATTTCAATTTAATGCTTCTTTCAAGAAATAGTATCAGGGACCCGAAAGGTAGCGCAGTGGGTAGGGTGCTTGCCTTGCACTTGGCTGACCCATGTTCAGTCCCGGCACCTCATAGTCCCCTAAGCAGAGTGATTCCTAGAGTGCAGAGTAAGCGTAAGCACTGCCAGCAGATTCAGCTAAAAAAAAAAAAAAACAATAACAAAAAGACATGAATGAGGATTTGGGCTGAAATGGTAGAGAACAGGCCTTGCATGTAAGACCGTGTTTTGATTCCTGGCACCTATGTTCCCATCCACTCTGGCACAATTGTGTGGCCTTGGTGCCTCTTGGTGGCTCTTGGCCCCTATCCAGCCAAGCACTGACAGAAGCACCGCCTTGTGTGACTTCCCTCCCTTCCAAAAAGATGTAATTGGTGATTCATTGCAATTCTAACGAATGACATTTAATGTAATTTCGTTGGAAATAAGTAGCATTTTAAATCATCCCTAACACTTTTCTCAGTTCTTTTTGATTAAGTAAAATATTTGTGAAATGCAAAATAATAGTCACTGAAATTATATTAGAAGTTGGGAGAAAGCCCGCTGCAGTCAAATTATTTGTACTATTTAGTAGTGATGTCATTAATTCTTACTCTGATAGAACAATCAGAACCCTAAAATATGATCTGAAATATAATGATAACGTGTATCACAGATCATTCTTGGACTCTCCTTGGTGCCTGGTAATGCCTAACTTAAAAGCATGTACTTCCTCATTTGCTGAGTAATACCCAGGGAACCGAAAATCAGTGCCACACGACTAGAATCCATGCAAAAGAAACGACACTCAGCAATATAACTAGCTTTATTAAATGCCAGCTCTTTGACATGGAATGTGGTACTTTTATGTAGTCCTCTGAAGGACCCTCTGTGTTTGATATTGATGTTCTCATTTTATAGATGAAGTAAAGGAAGTCCACAGGAGTTTGCTCAGTGTCATTTGGATCAGATCCCTCGTTCTCTTCCTCACTAGATTATAATCTGAGGGAAAGGGTCAACTCTCCTCTGTGGTGCTTAGGACAGATATTGGAATGTAACAGCTGCTTACTGCATTGTTTTTGAGCCATTAAGCCTCCTCTCCCCGCCCCCCTTTTTTCCTTTTTGTTTTGGGCCACGCCTGGTGGTGTCAGGGCTCACTCCTGGTTTTGCACTCAGGGATCACTCTTGGAGGGGCTCCGGGATATTATGGGGTGCCGGAGATCAAACTTGGCCAGTTGCATACAAGGCAGGTACTTTCCCTACTGTGCGGTTGCTCCGGCCCCAGAAATATTTTTCTCTCTGTGAGATATAGAGCAAACCGTGGTACAAACTCGTGGTATATAGGTCTAAATTTCTTTATTTCTAAACATTTCTGAACATTTGGATAGCTTCATCCTCATACTGTTTCAAGTTTGCCTGTAGAAACTCCCCTGCAGCAGTCTGTTGCTGTTTTTGCCACAGCAGTTTCTGAAACCACAGGATGATATTGTTGGAGGAATCAAAGGGGATACTAATAAGCTTATTTTTCACATTGATGCAAAGAGGAGATGTGTTTTGAAGAATGCACCTTTTGTTTGATTTTCTTGTTGGGAGGGGCCACAGCTGGCTGTGCTCAGGGCTTACTCTTGGCAGTGCTGGGGAGACCAAGCCAAGTGCCTTTCCTGCTGTACTCTCTCTGACTCCAGGAATGCACCTCTGAACACAGGCTCAGACATATGGTTAGGAACTTCACTGCTTTCATTACAGCTGCTTGTATCATATAATCACCTAAAAAAAAAAAAGACAAATGGGGCCAGGTGTGGGAGGGAGCTGACCACAGCCCTTGCTTGCCTGCCCTTTCCCCGTGGACTCCGTGCATCCCTGCCCTGGTGACAAGGCCCTCTCCAAGGTGCTCACCACGTTGGAAGGCCACCCATCCGATTCAGGGTCCAGCTGTATTGAGGCGCTTCCGTATGTCCGGATGCCTGATTAGATTATTGACTGCCTGATGGAGTTCAGTTATTAGCATCCTTCTTCTCCCTAATGTCAGACTCACCGAAAAATCCCAGCCCTCTTTGGGGAGATGGGTCAAAGGGCTGGAGCAAAGGCAGGAAGCCTGAATTTGATCTCTGGCATTGTGAGGTTCCCCAAGCACCATGCACAGAGTGCCCCTGACCCCCTCCCCATATTCAACACTGTAGTTACATACTTGCCCTCTCTGGTAACTAGCCCTACCTTTTACACCTCTCCACTAGCTAACATGGTTGCTCAGTGAATTATTATTATAACAAAGACAGAAAATTTCACTCAGAAACTTAAAAAATGTCAAATATCATTCAGAATTTTAAGTGTTTTTCCCCCTCTACTATCCAAACATTTTAAGAGTTTTGTAAGTTCCAGGAATCCAGGTCAAAGGTTCATCGATTTTCTCGAGCGGGACCAGTAACGTCTCCATCATGAGACTTGTTGTTGCTGTGTTTGGCATATCGAGTATGTCACGGGGAGCTTGCCAGGCTCTGCCGTGTGGGCGAGATACTCTTGGTAGCTTGCTGGACTCTCCGAGAGGGGCGGAGGAATCGAACCCAGCTCAGCAGGGCTGGATGCGTCCAAGGCAAATGCCCTACCGCCGTGCTATCGCTCCAGCCCAGGTCAAAGGTTAAATCTTTAAAATTTTTATACGACATGTGGCGTTTTGGGGTTAAGATTTAAATGAATTGATAGCTTTTGGCTATCCCTAGCAGTTCTCAGGGTGCTCAGAGCTTACTCCCGACTCTGTGCTCAGGGATCATTCTTCGGGGGGCTTGGAAGACCATATGGGGGTGCCCACGATTGAACCTGGGTCAGCTGTGTGTAAGGCAAGCAGCCTGACCTCTTTACTGTCTGCGTTTTGAGATAGGATTTTTTTTAAAAAATCAATTCAAAGAGCTTATTTATCAAAGGTGGAAGCTGATCATAAAGTGTCTATTGGTTGTGAAGTGAGTATTCACATTTACTCATTTTGTATTTAGGTATTCCCAGTTCCAGAAGGAATACAGTTTAGAGGAAGTACAGGGATCTCGGAAAGTTTTTGACTTTTTGACTGTCTTACAGTGTTGGTAAGAATAATCTATTTTACTACTTGATAAAAAAATAAAAGTATTGGAGTATATCTGTATCTGTCTGTACTTTTCCTGACTCCTACTTGGAATGAATGATTTTTCCTCCTACTCTCCCTAGAGACACTGTGTCTCTTCTCTTGGAAAACTGTATGTTTTACTTACTTCTCTCAGGACCTCTACCTGTGTTTATTGAAATGTGACTTAGGAGGCCAGTGGGATCCAAAGGTTTTTCTTTTGAATAATTCAATTATTTTTCCTGCTGTATACATCTGTTGTAGGAAATTTTACCTTACCATTATAGCTAAGAGTAAACATAAAGAGATTAATTTCAATAATAAAGACTGTATCTTGCGAAATGCTTGACAGTCTCTGTCTCCGGGAGGAGGATTCTGTTCACACCATACAGCATGTCCTGTGTCTAGTGGGCTACGTTCTGTGTTCTGAAAATAGGTGCTGGTTTGGATGCCAGTGAACAAGTGTGGCCATCCTGTATCTGTTGTAAGGATCCAGGTATTTATAAAATCCAACTAAACACACATAAGGATTCTCTGCCACCTTCCTTTACAACTTATTCTGAGAAAAAAACTATTTCACTTTTTTGTTTTGTTTTGTGTTTTGTTTTTGGGCCACACCCAGTGATACTCAGGGCTTATTCCTGGCTCTGCACTCAGGAATTACTTATGGTGCCCAGGGGACCAAACGGGATGCTGGGGATCAACCCCCTGGTGGGCTGCATGCAAGACTAACAACACCCTACTCACTGTCCTATTGCTGCAACCCCTAAGGAAAAACTATTTTGAAGTGATCTCAGGGGTCTAAAAAACCATAAGGATTCTGAGACAGTGATTTGGGAGCAAGCAGACTGGCACTGCTTAGTCTTATTGCAGAGTCTTTATTGTGTCAGAATAGTGATAACCTTATAGACCCCACAGAAGCAACCAAATTCTTCAATTCACCTTCTGGTGTACAAGAGGCCAATCCAGGATTCTTTGGGCTAAGAATTTATTGGGAGAGAATCTTGATGATTCACTAGTGACAGGCATATAAATTCTTGGTAGAGGTTCTGTCTTTAAAAAGAAAGAAAAAAGGTCTGTATAATTTAACTGTAAGCATCCTAAAGAAAATAGCCTAGGGGCTGGAGAGATGGTACAGCAGCTAGGGCAGTTGACGAGCATGCACCTGATCCAGGTTTGATCCTTGGCATCCCATAGAGTCCTCCAAGTCCCACCATGAGTGATTGAGCATTGAGCCAGGAGAAAGTCCTGAGCACCACAGGTGTGACCCCCAAACAGAACAAAACAGAGGAAGGTAACAGTCTAATGAGCTGCAGGCATGCCCAGCCTTTCTTTCCAGGAAGAGCTCTGAGGGCCTGAGAGCCAGCATGCAGGCTGGAGCATATACTGGGAATGCAGGAGTAAACACCCCATCTGCCCCAGCACCACGGGGGTTGGGATGGGGGGGTGGGGGGAGGTGGGGGAGAGGAAGGCTCTGAGCCAAAAAATGAAAACCCGCCAGAATGGAAAGAAACTCCTAGTTGCCTTAAGTCAGATGAATGTGTTCTAAATGCCTTTCACCTCCTTTAGTCCTACCTCAGACGGTGCAGCGGCAGCAATTTTGGCCAGTGAAGAATTTGTAAAGCAACATGGTTTGCAGTCCAAAGCTGTGGAAATTTTGGCCCAAGAGATGGTGACTGATTTCCCAAGCTCCTTTGAAGAAAAAAGCGTCATTAAAATAGTATGTGTGAATCTATTCTATTCATCAATGGAGGGATTCCTATTAAAAATTACTGGTGGGGCTCAAGAGATAGCCCAGAGGGCTGGAACTCATGCCTGGTAGACTGAGGCCCTCCCTGGGTTCGCTTCCCGGTGCTGCATGGTCCCCTGAGCACTGTTGGAGTGACCCTGCTGGTCCCCCACCTTGCTGCCCTGGGTGCCCCCCATACTACTGCTCGAGAGATGGCCCCATTATTTTCCCCAGGATGATGTCATATTGTTATCAGGGCTGAAAGTAATTTACTTGAAAAAAAAATTGATCTAGAGAATTTAACATTACGAACTATTTAGGATTATGTCATGGGACAATAACTGCTGAGAACATTCTTTCAATAGAGACGTGTATCATTGTATGATAACTTTCAACTGATTACATACATGTGCTATTTGTGTTTTCATTTGAGTTAACAAAATATACCTAGAACTTTTTTTTACAGAGTTAAAGGAAAAGCAGATTCACTTCAGGGAACTTGCTTGACCTTTAGCACTTCAAAAATTTCAGTTGAAGATGGAAGTAAAAACAGATGGAAATTCAAACCTAGAGTTAATTGGAAACTTACCTACAAAAATATGTGCCTATATACCTATGTATATATATGTGTAAAAACAAAATCATATGACTCATTGCTATATACAAAATTCTTGTATAGCAATACTGCGATTTGAAAATGTTCCTATAACTAACCTATGATCACAAAGCGAGGGTGTGGCAGAGGTGGGAGCAATATTCAAGATTTATAATTACAACACATTTTCTGTTACATTGCAGTTTTAGTCCTTGGAGTAAAGATGAGTTTGCTTATTGTTATATAGACCCAAGAGATAGTAACTGCAAGAATTTTAGAACAATGGTTTGAATCTTTCCTGGTCTTCTAAATGAAGATTGTTTTCATATAGGAATTTCTCCACTATTCTTCCATTTATCTCAGTCATGGTATTCTGTTGATAAATCTCATCAGCCTTTTTATCACAAGTCAGTTGTGGTCTGATAGAATTTTTGCTCCTCTGCAAGATATGACTGTAGCAATATTAAGTCCTTTTGTGTAAAGGTGCTGGACAGATACTTCCAGGGGCTGGGGTCCTGCTTTGCAGATGGAGGGCCGGGCCCCGTTTTACTCCCTTGCACTGTGTGATCCCCCCAGCATCCCTAGGAGTGACCCCAAACATAGGCTGGAAATAGCCCCTGAATACTGCTGGGTGTGGTAAAGTTAATATTTTGTCACATTAGATATTCTTTTACTCTACATAAAAGATATTCTTAGATATTCTTTCATTTAGATTTTCTGTATAGTATCTAATCAACTGAAATTTTAGTATATATGCTCAGTGTTCAGCCATTAAGGTTAAACTATTAATCTTTATATACAACTCCCAGTGTGAGGGCCCTGGATAGATAGTACTGCAGGTCGTGTGCTAGCCTCGCATGGACACAGTCCTCAGCACCATGAATGGTTCCCTAAGTCCTTCCAGGGATTCCCAAGGGCAGAGTCAGGAATAAGCCACCTTTCCCCCTTCCCTTAACACCCCCCGCATCCCCCCAAAAAGCTCAGTTTTGATTCTCTTAACATAGTTGATTTGATTTTAGGTTGGCTTTGATATGACTAAAGAAGCTGCCAGAAAGTGTTATGAAAAAACCGGACTGAGACCAAATGATATTGATGTAATAGAACTTCATGATTGCTTTTCCATCAATGAACTCTTAACTTATGAAGCACTGGGACTCTGTCCAGAAGGTAACATCTTTGATAAGATGCAGATCAACTGGGCAAATCATACTGAGAAAATTTCATTTATACCATTAAATTAAAGAATTTAAAGTATCATGCTAAGTGAAATGAGTCAGAAAGAGAGGGACAGACATAGAAAGATTGCATTCATCTGGGAAACATAAAGTAACAAAATAGGAGACTAACACCCAAGAATAGCCAAGATAAGTACCAGGAGGATTGCTCCATGACTTTGAGGACAGCCGCACATGCTAGGGGAAAAGGCAGCTCAGATAGAGAAGGGAGCACCAAATGGAGGGTGTTGGGAGGTTCCTCTCAGGATGGGAAATGCGTGATGAGAGTAGACTATAGACTGAACAAGATTTCCACTCAATGTCTCTTTTGCAACCACAGCACTCAAAAGGAGAGAGAGAACAAAAGGGAATGCCCTGCCACAGTGGTAGGGTGGGATGGGGGGAAGGGGGGTGGGAGGGATACTGGGACGGGTGGTGGTGGAGAAAGGGCGCTGGTGGAGGGATGGGTATTCGATCATTGTATAACTGAAGCCCAAACACAAAAATTTGTAAGTCTACAACTGTACCTCATGGTGTTTCACTAATAAAAATTTTTTAAGGAAAAAAAAGAATTTAATAATAGGTTCTGTTGCTGTGTACACATTTCTACATTGGTTCTGTCACCCTGTGCACAGTAAATGTGGAATCTCTTGAGGTGTACTTTTAGACTGTTCAGGCTCAGTGTCAACACCAGATCCCTACACTCAGTCAGCAGAGTGACAAATAATTTGTAGTATGATCAGGGGCACTTATGAAGTGACCACCGCTTTTTTGTTCCTGGTGGTGATTTGTGTTCTTTCTAACTTTTCTTCTTGATTCATCCAACTAGTTAGAGATTTGTCAGTTTTTTTTTTGTTGTTGTTTTTGTGTGTGTGTGCAGGGGGCCCATATTGACAGTGCTTAGGGTTATTCCTGTCGGTGCTCATAAGTGGTCCCATTGCTTAGGGGAACATGTGCTACCAGGCATTGAACCTAGGCCTTGGATTCTTGCCTGTTGAGCTGTCTTTCCAGCCCCACCCATTTTTGTCAGTTTTGTTCAGCTTTACAAAGAATCAAATTTGCATTTTGAAAATAAGATTATTTGTGTTTTTCCCACTTTATTGATTTCTGCTCTTCATTCTTTTCTTTTTAGGTGTCTTGTGATAGGGGCTAGAGAGATAATACTAGGTTGCCTTGCATGTGGCTGACCCAAGTTCAATCTCTGGCACTGCGTATAGTGTCCTGAGCACTGCCAGGAGTTACTCCTGAGCCCTGAGCTAGCAGTAAGCCCTCGGTACTGACAGGTGTAGCCCAACCCCCCCCCCAAGTTTCTTATAATAGGATACTAAGTGATTATCTTAGATTGTTCTTTTTAAAATATAAATATATAAGACTATGTAATTTTATAAGCAGCATTTTAATTTTAACCGCATTTCACAATATATTTGTCATTTAGCTCTAATATTTTTAAGTGACTTATACTTTTATCTTTACCCTGTAAATTATTTAGGAGAATGTTATTTAATATGCAGGTACATGGAATTTTCCCATATAGCCATTGTTCATTGGTTTCAGGTTTAATTTTGTTGTGGTCAGATGAAACATTTGATTTTTATTTTGACCCTTTCAAATTTATTTGAATTTGCTATGATAGGGCTGGAGTGATAGCACAGTGGTAGGGCGTTTGCCTTGCACGCGGCTGACCCAGCCATCCCAGGTTCGATTCCTCCACCCCTCTTGGAGAGGCCGGCAAGCTACTGAGAGTATCTCGCCTGCACAGCAAAGCCTGGCAAGCTCCCCATGACATATTCGATATGCCAAACACAGTAACAAAAAGTGTCACAATGGAGTTTCTGGGCCCACTCCAGCAACTCAATGAACAATAGTAGGACAGTGTTACAGTGCTACAGTATAGTAGGTAGGGCGTTTGCCTTGCACACGGCAGACCTGAGTTCGGTCCCAGGTACTCGATATGGGACCCTAAGTCTGCTTGGAGTGATCTGAGTGCAGAACCAGGAATTAGCTCTGAGCACAGCTGGGTATAACCAAAAAATCAAATTTATTTAAACTTATTTTCTTGCTCAGCATATGATATTTATTGAATTTATCATACATTCATACATATGCACTTGCAAAATAATGCGGATGCTGTAATTGTTAGATTTAGTTCTCTTTTTATGTCTGTTATAGCAAGATGATTGATAGAATTTTTGAAATTCTATCAATGTGTGTGTGTGTGTGTGTGTGTGTGTATGTTTACTGTATCATTTGTCTTGCTCTAATGCTCAGGGTCCCACTTTGTGTGCAGGAGACCTAGCTTCAAAGAGCTTGGCTTATTGTGCCTGTATAAATTACAAACATAAAAATGTGGACTTAATCTAATAAAGAAAAATTATTTGAAAGTAAATGCCTGCCACTGACCCCACACTCACTCCCCCTACAAGGGCATAGCATGCCCCCACTGAAAAGACCCCCAGTGACATTGGGCGTGGACCCTATATAGAGATTTTCCTGCTGTAACTGTGGAGTTGTCGCTTCTTTTATTTCTGTCAGTTGATAGAATATTATTTTTGTGCCTGTATTGGAACGACATACACATGCATTTGTAGTTGCTATATCTTCAGCAAGAGTTATCTGTTTTGTCTGTTTTGTATTTTCTTTTGATTTGGGCTCACAGTTAGCAATGCTCAGGGCTTACGTTCCGTGGCTCTCAGGGTCCCAGCACTGCTGATGTGATCCCCCTAAAAAAATTGCTGCAAATGAGGCTCGAGAGAGAACTCAAGCAGCTGGGGTGCAGCAAGCAACACAGGAGTCCAGCTTCAGGCCCTGTGAGCACTTGGAGGAGACCACGTGGAAGCACAGTACCACAGCTGAATGGCGGTTCTGTGTTCACCTCGAAGTACTCGGCCCTGTTCGCTCCCCACACCCATCGCTGGGGCCTCCTTTCCTATCTCTTCCTTTGCTGGAGTTCCGTTGTCTTCTTTTTCAAGTGCCCTAAGCTTTCCTGCTTCAGGACTTCTACCTTCCCCTGCCCCCCAATATTCCTAGGTTTTACTTGCTCACTCCTTGGGGACTTTGGCCAAGAGTCACCTTCTCAGTGGAAACTTTGTCTAAAATGTCACCCTTTCCTGGTCTCTGTCCTCCTTTCTAGTGCTTTATCTCTGGATTCATTGTAGTTGATGAGCTCAAGATAACTTATTTTTTGGCGTGGGGTGGCCCCCTGGGACTCCCAAGAATGCTGGGGTTGCCCTGCGGTGTTTCTGGTGATACTTAGCCCAACTGTATGGACACCATGTTTAGGCCACATATTGCTCAAGGTGCGTCCTCTAGAGCCACATTTGGAGATGCTTGGGGGCCGCTAAGGCTACACCTGGATTGAGAAGGACCACTGTGACAATGGTAGTTGGAAATAACTGCTCTGGATGAGAATTGAGTGCTGAGGTTGGTGAAGCGATATACATGGTAACCTGTCAGTATTGGTAACCTGTATTGCAAACCATAAGGAGGGTGGAGGGAGGGGCAGGAGAGCGAAAGCAAGAGCAAGAAAGAAGGAAAAGGAAGGAAGGAAGGAAGGAAGGAAGGAAGGAAGGAAGGAAGGAAGGAAGAGAGGGAGGGAGGGAGGGAGGGAGGGAGGGAGGGAAGAAGGAGAGAAGGAGTGAGGGAAGAAGGAGGGAAGGAAGGAAGGAAGGAAGGAAGGAAGGAAGGAAGAGAGGGAGGGAGGGAGGGAGGGAAGAAGGAGAGAAGGAGTGAGGGAAGAAGGAGGGAAGGAGGGAAGGAAGGAAGGAAGGAAGGAAGGAAGGAAGAGAGGGAGGGAGGGACGGAGGGAGGGAGGGAGGGAAGAAGGAGAGAAGGAGTGAGGGAAGAAGGAGGGAAGGAAGGAAGGAAGGAAGGAAGGAAGGAAGGAAGGAAGGAAGGAAGGAAGGAAGGAAGGAAGGAGAAAAGTGGATAGGGGATGGGGGTGGTGGCAGCTGAGAAACTGGGGACATGGGTGGTTGGAAATGTACCCTGGTGGAAGGAAGAGTATGAAGCATCCTGGTACTGAAACACAGCCATGAACAACTTTGTAACTTTGTATCTTTAAGTGATAATAAAAATATTTTTAAAAATTACAATATTTCATGAACCTCTAAAAATAGAAGAATATAGGCCATTATTTTTGTTATTTTAATTGAGTCACTGTGACACAGTTACAAAACTGTCATGACCAGGTTTTAGTCATACAATGATCCAGTACCCATCTCTCCACCAGTGTCCTTTTCCCACCACCAGTCGCCCCAGTTTCCCTCCTGCCACACCCCACTCCCCCAGCCTGCCTCTGTGGCAGACTGTCTGTCTCTCTCTCTCTCTTTCTTTCTCAGAAAAGTGTCTGCTATAGCGGCAGAGGTGTCCAACCTCATTGTAATAAGGTTGGACATGGGGGATGGGGACGGTGGCAGTAGAGAAACTGGAGACTTTGGTGGTGGGAAATGTACACTGGTGAAAGGAAGGGTATGGAGCATCCTAGGACTGAAACCCAATCATGAGTGACTATTGTAACTGTGTCTTACAGTGATTTAATAAAAAAAATTTTTAATTAAAAATATATTTCATGAACCTGTTAAAAATAAAGAAAGAAATAAAAGAATACAGGCTTTTATGTACAGTTATCTTACTATTAATCTTGGATATATATATATTTTTTTCTCTCTTTTTCTTTTGTTTTTTGGGCCGCTTCAGTCCTCAGGGGTTACTCCTGGCTTTGTGCTCAGGGATCACTCCTTGCAGTGCTTGGGGGATCCATATGGGATGCTGGGGATTGAGCCCAAATCTGTTGGGTGTAAAGCGAATCCCCCACTTAATATATTATCCCTCCAGCCCCTTAATCGTGAATATTCTGCTGTTGTCTATCTCCTAATGTATAAAATAGGACCAATAGTAACTACTTCATAGGATCGAGGATTGAATTGCATAAATATTTGTAAAATCATTAGAATAAGGTTGAAGACAGAGTGAGTGCTTCAAAACTATTAGCTACCTTTGATAGCACAATGACAACTATTATCGTTATTTGGTGACTTTACCTCTCAGTACTATACCAGAAGTACGTCTGGGAAGAATATTTCATACAGTGCCTTCATTTGTCTTTATTTCTCAACCACCTGCGAGAGTGAGGAATGTTGAAACTGCCAAGCCTGTGAGGTAAACTTTGTCTTCCAGATTTATAGCTATGGCTCAATAGTCTTTTCAGCCACTTCCTTTCATCTTGAGTGAGCACTTTCTGCTCCCTTCCTCCTCTGCCTCCCTCCCATTTATTAAGAATGTGTATTTAACTTAGGAAAGTGTAGTTGACGGTGGAGGAAAATGAATATATTTTGGCAAAGTTACAAATTTTTAAGATTATATAGTTATCTTATTAAGTTACTAGATTCACCGTCACTGTCACTGTCCTCCCATTGTTCACCGATTTGCTCGAGCGGGCCCAGTAATGTCTCCATTGTGAGGCTTGTTGTTGTTGTGTTTGGCATATCGAATACGTCATGGGTAGCTTGCAAGGCTTTGCCGCGCGGGTGAGATACTCCAGCCCAAATTACTAGATTATATCTTAATAGTGTTTTACGACTAGGGGCCATGTGACCCCCTCCGGATTCCCGAATATTCTAAGGAGACCACAGGGGGAAACCATATACACGAGGGCCATGGGCATGATACTGGGGGGCAAACACTAGGACAGGAACCAGGGTTGGAAGGGGACCGTGGTCCCTAAAAGTCTGAGAAATACTGTAACATAGATCATAATATTTTAGTTACAGTTTGTACCTATTTTTGCTCTTTTCCTCTGGTACACTGATTTTCTATTAAATTTGTTAGCAATTTTGGAAATTAGAGAGCTCTTAAAAACTAAAAGGAGCTTTGTTTTATGCAGGAAGGACTCTGAAAACAGGGTCTTTACCGCTCAGTATTTATTACCTCCTTTTCAGAGGTGCTTTTATCAATTTGATGTTTGAATTGTTAAGAAATGTCTTATTTCCCCTGGGGAATTCTTCGCTACATGAATGTTTGAAGAACACATATGATTTGTTGTAAGCATATTTTAATATTTGGGAATATTTTTCCTTCTGTAGGACAAGGTGGAAAGTTGGTTGATAGAGGAGATAACACCTATGGAGGAAAGTGGGTGATAAACCCCAGCGGAGGACTGATTTCTAAGGGACACCCGCTGGGAGCAACAGGTAATAAGACACGCATTTTGCTACCATTTTGGGGATAGGTTTGGATGACTGGTGGTTGATTTGAATGAAAAATTGCCTTCTCTGAACTTGGTCATCAGCGTTTTAAATGTGTAGCCCTACGTATTTCATTTTCACCCCTAGTGGCCCCCAGCTCTGTCCCAGACGTGTGCAGGAAACATGTGATAGGAATCGAGCCAGACAAGCGTCTTAATCCCTATGCCATCTCCGCAGTGCTTGTCTGCTGATATCCTGGCTTTATCTGTTCTTTGTTTTGTGTTTGGGCCACACCTGGTAGTGCAGGGCTTACTCTTGGCTCCGCACTCAGGAATTGTGAGCAGGATTACACATGCCAGGCAAGCGCCCTACCCACTGTGCCATCTCTCCCGCCCCAGTTTATCCATTTTGCATACACCTCCCACCCCTCCCCGCCACCTCTTCCTTCATCATGGTTGGCGTCTTTGTGATGGCTGGGGTTGCACCTGACCAAGAGGCTCACACATTTTCAGTTGTGCAAGAAGTTGCCGCACTCGCCCAGGTCTGCCCTCCTTGACTTCCAGACTTACGCACTTGTTTCCTGGGGGAAACTGCACTCGCAGTTGAGGGGCACGAGTGATGGCCCTGGCACTCATGGTTGTCCCTGGGGTGCTCACACATGTGCTCTCAGGAGTCACACTTCCTGGCCGTGCTACGTATGCTCCGTTTGTAGTGCTCACGGGGCCTTGCATCCTTTTTGGGTAGTGTCTGTACACTGCTGGCCTTGGTGTGGCCAGAACCTGCTTGCACAGGGTGGCTCTCAGCGCAGATTTGACCCCAGGGATGTGCACTCCAGATTTAAGCACGCATAGCACGTGCTCTGAATCGCAGCGCCATTCCTCCAGCCCAAGAGTTTTTATATTTGGTAGTGTTCTAAGTGGATCACTTCCATAACTCTGGGAGGGTAAAACTGCTCTTCCATCCTTCAGTGTATATTGATGTCATTAAAGCTTTTGGGGTGGTGATTTGGGTTTGGGGGCTGTATTGGTGGTGATTTTGGCTTTCTCCTGGCTCTGTGCTCAGGGGTCACTCCTGGCAATGCTCAGGAGCCTGAGTATGGTGCCAGGAACTGAGCCTGGGTTGGCTGTGAGTGAGGCATGTACCTTATCTTAATCCTGTACCTTATCTCTCGAGCTACTCAACATTAGAAAAAATTATTTTTCTTTGAAACTCAACAAACCTTTCTCAAAAAGACAACCTCCAATAATAGACTCTTATTTTTGTATTGTTTATTAAAGGACCTTTAGATGTAAGGTAAAGGTAAAGGCCCTCCCGTTGATCGTCGATTTACTCGAGCAGGCCCAGTAACGTCTCCATTGGAGACTTTGTTGTTACTGTGTCTGGCATATCCAATACTCTCGGTAGCTTGCCGGGCTCTCCGAGAGGGGCGGAGGAATCGAACTCGGGTCGGCCATGTTGGCCGCTTGTAAGGCGAACGCCCTACCCACTGTGCTATCGCTCCAGCCCCCCATAATTTAGAACTAAAGCTAAATTATAACTTGTTTGTACTTGGCCTTCCTAATAATCTAGGAAGAGGAGTTAAAGGCCAAAGGAAACAGGAAGAATTCAAGGCCTTAGATAATTCAAGATATTTTTCCACTAGTTTTTCTTTCTGTGATTTTCCATAGCACTAAACAGTCATCTTCACTAGCAGTTTGTATTTTATGGTATATTCTTTATATTTCCAGTATTTAGAGAAATGGTTTTGGTTTTTAGAGGTAACCAGACTTTATATCTATATACATTTCTAGATTTTAGTAGGCTAATACTTTTATTTAATACTTTTAATTCTAGGCTAATTGCATATACATGTATAAAAACTTGTTAGGAAATATTTGCAGCAAACATAGTAAAATGAAGGGTGTCACTTTTACAAGATGCCCTCTGCTCATCCACACTTATAAATATATAAGTCATGTCTGGTAGATTATTTTTTTTAAGTCTAGGAAAAATATGGGTTTTAATTCATTGCCAGAAACTACCCAAGGAAGGAAAATTAAAATAACATATTTGCCCAAATATTTTATGTCTTTATAACTGTGTGCCATGCTTTCTTAGCAAGTGGAATTCTGAGACAAATGTTTGGCTTATACCCTTCATAGATATTTATTCTAGAAATAATAAGAAACAGCTGCTTATTAACAACTAGAAAGTCAAATAATCAGGCTGTCTCCTACTGACACTCATTTGTCATCAAAAGAAAATCAGTTGAGGGCCGGAGAAGTAGCTTGAAGGACCGGAGCACGTGCTTTGCTGCAGGAGGCATGGGCTCAGTCACCACACGCTTGCTTGCTGAGAGCCAGCCCGGTTTCCATCCTGAGAACCACCAAGAGTGAGTCCTGAGCCAGGAGTATAGCCCTAGTACCACTAGACGTGGTCCACTCCCTCCTCACACCCCAAGTGCTCATTTAAAATTATGGTGTTTAAGATATGATTCTGTCAATGTATAGACTCTGCTTGGAAGTGAGAAGTGGCAGGTCAATTTCTTTTTGGGGGTGAATGTGAGGAGGGCACATCCAGCTGTGCTCAGGGCTCTGCCACTTCAGGGATCACTTTTCCCAGTGCCCAGGAGACCATATGGGATGCCAGGGATTGAACTCAGGTCGGCCAGATGCAAGGCAGGCTCCCTACCCACTGTACTATAGCTCTGACCCTTGTTGATGAAAGGGCATGGCAGTGCAGGGAACGTCACGCGTACTCAGGAATCAGAAGCTGGGGTTTGGCTGTGGGTGGAGAACAGATATGAGACCTCTTGGGCTGTAAAACTAGTCTATCCTGACAGAACATCACGCCCTGTGCCTGAAGAACTGGTCTGGGAGAAGGTTACAGATGTCCGTGGGGATGCCTGGATTCTAATCTCAGCTCTGGAAGTTGCCTGCTTTGTGACCATTCACAAATGACCTTACAGCTTGCCAAGTGTTTATGCAAAATTCTCTCCAGCTCTGAAAGACTTTGGTTTTCTTATCCACGGGACAAACACTATTCTTTTGAATCTAGAACTATTCCTGGGAATAACCCTACAAAGATCTGGAACAATAACTACACATAAGTCTGAAAAAACGAACAATTCGTTTTTGTGGAGGACTATTGGGAGGAACATAATAAGAGAATTTCTCATGGCAGAAAATTTTTTTAAAAAGCAAACTCCCCAATTCCTTATTATTTCTGTTGTGATGTATTAAAAAAAATAGTGAAATGAGTTCAATCATTTAGCCGTTTTGCCTGGGAGGAGAACTATATCTATCTATCTATCTACCTACCTATCTATCTATCTATCTACCTTTCAAGGGCTGGAGCGATAGCACAGCGGTAGGGCGTTTGCCTTGCACGCAGCCAACATGGCCAACCCGAGTTCGATTCCTCCGCCCCTCTCGGAGAGCCCGGCAAGCTACCCATGCATATTCGATATGCCAAACACAGTAACAACAAAGTCTCCAGTGGAGACGTTACTGGGCCCGCTCGAGCAAATCGACGAACAACGGGAGGGCCTTTACCTTACCTTATCGACCTTTTATTCCCGTTGTTCATGGATTTGCTCAGGCGGGCCCAGTAACGTCTCCATTTTGAGACTTGTTACTGTGTTTGGCATACTGAATGTGTCACAGGGAGCTTACCAGGCTTTATACATACATACATACATACATACATACATACATATTCGTTGTTCTTGCTCGCGTTTTTGAGCCACACCCGGCAGTGCGCCGGGCTGCAGAGTCCGGGCAGGGCTGCAGGGACTCTAGGCGGTGCTGGGGCTCGAATCCGCGGCGGCTGCAGGCTTGAGTTTTCCTCTTTGAACACGGCCGGAAAGCAACAAGGTCGGATCACCTCTAAGGCGCGCCGGGGGAATTCCTTAAAGCTCGCTTATTGGGGCTGGAGTGACAGCACGCGCCCAACCCGGGTTCGATTCCCAGCGCCCCATAGGGGCCCCTGCGCACTGCCGGGAGTGAGTTCCTGAGTGCAAGGCCAGGAGTCGCCCCCGCGCATCGCCAGTTGTGACCCCGAAAGCAAAACAAAACCCCAGCTTGCGCACTGTCTCCGAGGAGAGGTCGCGGGCCCCCCTCGCGCGGCGGGAGAGGGCGGGGGCGGCGGCGGGCCCGCTCTGACGCTCTGCGCTCGGCTCGCCAGGTCTGGCGCAGTGCGCCGAGCTCTGCTGGCAGCTGCGGGGCGAAGCCGGAAAGAGGCAGGTCCCGGGGGCGAAGGTGGCCCTGCAGCACAACCTGGGTCTCGGCGGCGCCGCGGTGGTCACGGTCTACAGGATGGGCTTCCCCGAGGCGGCCGGGTAAGTCGGGGGGCGCGCGGGGGGCGGGTCCCAGGGCTTCGCGGGGAGCGGGCCCGGGGAGGGGGCGCGGCTCGCGCGGGGGGTGGGGTCCCAGGGCCACGCCGGCGCCCCGCTCCGGGGCCGGTCGTCGGGCCCGGCGGCGAGTCCGTCCGCGTCCCCGGGTCTCCGGGTCTCGGGGCCCGGCCGGCGCCCCCCTCCCCACCCCGCTCTCCGGCCCCGCGGGCCCCCGCGCTCCCCGCCTCGCCCCGGGCGTCCCGCTCCCGCGCCCTCGCGCCCGGGCTTTCCCTTCCCCGCGGGGCAGTTTCGGGGGGACCCGACGCCCCCCCCCCCACCTTGGCTTTTTCCCCCAGGGTCATTCCGCGCGCGGGGGCAGTTCTGGCCTCCCCGCCGAGGTCAGGGCAGGTCACCGCTGCCCGGATTATGAAATGATCGTGTCTTTATTTTTCACCCTGACTCTCTCTCATTCTGTAAGGGCTGTCGACAGGGATTGGCTCTCTGTCTCTCTGTCCTTGTCTCTCTCTCTCTCTCTCTCTTTTTACATTTTCTCTTGGAATTCTTGGCAGTTATCAAGATTTTCACCTTTTCAGCTCAGAAAACCTCATCTGCTTTCCGCCCTTATAGTTTTCCCTTTCCAGAATGTCATGTGACTAGGATCAGTGTGGCACATTTATAGAATCAATTATATTTTTTTATAAGCTCTTTTTTCCCCCCTCTTTTGGTCTTTGAGCCACGCCTAGCAGTGCTTAGGGCTTACTCCTGGCTCTGTGCTCAGGGGTCACTCCTGGCAGAGCTTGTGGCGCCTGGGACTGAACCCAGGTCAAGCCGCGTGCATGGCATTTAAGTGTCCTACCTACTGTACTGTCTTTCTAGCCCCTCTTATTAGCTGAGTCTCTTCTCTCTACCCCCTTTTTTTTCTTTTCTTTTTAAACATGGAGTATGATTTTTCATGTGAAACTTCAATTTTTTTTTCCTTTTTGGTTCACACCCTGGCAATGCTCAGGGGTTACTCCTGGCTCTGCACTCAGGAATTACTCCTGGCAGTGCTCAGGGGATCATATGGGATGCTGGGAATCGAACCCGGGTTGACCGTGTGCAATGCAAACGCCCTACCCACTGTGCTATCACTCCAGCTCCCAAACTTCAATCTTTTAAGACTCATTTTGGGCACCACCTTTTATTTTATTTTCTTCTGCTTGTTTTGTTTTGGGGCTACACTTTGCAGTTTCAGGGGTTACTCCTGGCTCTGAAGTCAGGAGTCACTTCTAGCAGGCTCAGGGGACCATATGGGATACAGGGGATCAAACCCTGATCAGGCGGTACTGTCACTCTGACCCCTACCATCTCTTCCTAAATACCTATAGCTTTTTTTTTTTTTTGGCTTTTTGGGCCACACCCAGCAACGCTCAGGGTTACTCCTGGCTCTGCACTCAGGAATTACTCCTGGCAGTGTTCGGGGGACCCTATGGGATGCCGGGATTAAGCCTGGGTCTGCTACCTGCACGGCAAACACCCGCCCCTCTGTGCTGTCGCTCTGGCCCCACCTATAGCATTTGTCCCTTCTTGGTCCCCTCCAGTTTTGGTGTAGTTGTCGTGTATTCTTTCTGTTCCCTTTCTTATGTGAGCTCTTTGAAATCAAAGACTGACTTCTCGCTACCCTCTCACAGTTAGCAAATGTCTGTTAAGTTGACTCTAAGTAAGATTTTTAATTTTTAGTTTCTTCCTAACTCTGGTTGATTCTGTACCGTCCTCTGGAATGCAATCCACTTCATATTTGGAGTTGAAAACTCTCAATAAAAGCCAACCTATGAAATGCTCCCATAACCAACATTTAAGTATAGCTATCTGGTTTGTTCAGAATAGAAAGCTATTTGGGTCAATAAATTCTACTTTATTTATTAGTTTATTTGGGATTTGAGCCACACCTGGTAGTACTTAGGGCTTACTCCAGACTCTGTGATCAGGGATCACTCTTGGTAGGGTTCTGTAAACCATATGTGGTACTGGGGATTAGACGTGGGTTGGCCACCACATATGGTCCAAACCCTGACATAAAGAACAAATAAATTTAAAGTGGAATGACTGTTATTGCCCAGGAGGAGAGCATCCCAGTCCTGCCTTGAGAGGTAAGGAGGTTGAGGAGGTTTGGAGAGTGGCCGAGCCTTGTGGGCAGAGGGAAAGTAGTTTTGCAGGGCTCTGGGTCAGTGTAAGTAGTCTATAGGTGACACGAGATGAGCCTGGGTTTGGAATACTTCAAGTTGACTTGGAGTCTGTATTCTAGAATGTGAGTTTAGCCGAGATCATCTAACTGCGTATCTTGCGCTTTGGGGACATGTATTTGGCATTGCATTGAGTTAACAGCTGTGGAGACCAGAGGCCAGAAATCCGCAGGATGTCATTGCTGTTGCATGGATTGGAGATGTTGAGTGGCCACCAGGAGCACCACTGATGTGAGCATGCAGAGGAGAGGGTATCTTAAGGGCTCTGAATAACTGCATTGAATTTACACTTACGGGTCCAGGAAATAGTAGAGTGGTTAGGGCTCGTGCTGAACCCAGCTTTGATCTGTGTCCATGTGGCCATGCAGGCATTGCCAGGTATTACTCTGGAGCCCCCCCAAGTGCCTCCAGGTTGGCCCTCGTGGTCCCCAGCACTGCAGGCCCAGGCAGCAGCAGCACTGTACCCTCTGGCCCAGCACTGACCCATCAGCCAGGTGACTGAGAATCACTGGGAGTGGTTCCCCAGCATTACTTGGGAGCCCCCCTCCCCTCATCAACATAGAACATTTTTTCTCCATTTTATTTGATTTCATTTTATGAATTTTTCTGCTACACTCAGAGTACTCAGGGCTTCACCCTGGCTCTGTGCTCAGGGATCACTCCCGTTGTGGTGTCGGGGATTGAATCAGGGTCAGCCATGAGCGAGGCAAGAGCCCGTTTCCCCCATACTTTCTCTCTGGCCCCTCTTCTTTAACTTAGAATAGTTTTGAATATGAGCATTGGCTTTATGTCATAACATCCTACTCGCCTTTATAAGCAGGGAACTTAAATGACAAAAACTGAGTGTAGATTTGTGTTCCAGCCTCTGTTACCAAACCTAACTCTGTTCTGATTTTGGTTCTTTTAAAATTAAGGTACAATTTAGGCATACATGAATGTATGCTGTTAACGAAGACATACATTAAAAGTCGGCCATTTTAGTACATAGTTCTGCAAACTTTGACAACTCTACAGAGTCCGGTGGCAGTTGGACCACCTCTCAGTTAGACTGAAGAAATTGCAAAGCCACTTGAATGTAGGCTCTGTCTCCTATTCTTTCAATGCACGGGGTTTACAGAGATAGCGGGAGGTGCCGCCCTCAGCTTTCCATCTTGTGACTTGCTCTGGACATGTTAACTTCACCTTTTCCTCTTTTAGAAAAGTAAAAATCCCGACTTCGGTGATTGGAAAGATAACAGAAACTGTTTGCCACAGACTGTAGTTGCTCAGTAAACTGTTGTCTTCCTATTTCCCTCTGCGTTTTTCTTTCTTTCTTATTTCTCCAGTTCAAGCCACTCGTTAGACAGTTGGAAATAATTTTATTTTTGAAATTAGTTATATCACCTAGGAGCTTGGACACAATGAACTTCGTTAACTAAGTATTAGTAGAGTAGGGGAAAATCCAGCTCCTTGAAGTCCACAGCCTGACGGGGGAGAGTTGAGTCAGACTTTCCACGGTGGCCCCAGGAGGTTCTTTTGGCTTTCGCTCCCTTCGCTTTGGGCTGGATTCAGGTCCGTGGGTCCACATGCCTGCATTCAGGTCAAAGGGAGTTATTGCTGATTGCAAATAAACCTTACTTCCTGGTATTTGTTTGCACCATCCAACCAAATCTTAGTAAAATAAACTGCTAAAACATTAGTTTTAGGGGCTGGAGAGATAGTACAGTGGGTAGGGCGCTTGCCTTGCATGGGGCTGACCCGGGTTCGGTCCGTGGCCCTCCTTGTCCTCTGAACACAGAGCCAGGAATAAGCCCTGAGCACTGCTGGTTGTGGCCCCGCCCCCTCCCCCCCAAATACTATTAGGGTTAAGGAATTGATTAGAATGTAGGCATATATCGCAGCCTCCTCCTCCCTCTTCCTCCCCCTCTTCCTTCCCCTCCTTCTCCTCCTCCTCCTCCTCCCCCTCCCTTTCCACCCCCTCTTCCCCTCCCACCCCCCACACCCAGTGATGCTCAGTGGTTGCTCCCAGCTCTATACTCTGGAGTTACTTCTGGTGGACTCAGGGGACCGTATGGGTTGCTGGAGATTGAACCTGGGTCGTCCGCATGCAACACAGAGGCCCTCCCCACTGTACTATCACTTCGGTCCTTGTCTTCTTCTTAAACAGTAAGGATAAAAGCAGTCATTTGCAATTTTATTTTTGATAGCATCTTTGAGATGTAATTCCCATGCTATACAGTTCTCTATTTTAATTATACATTCAGTGGGTTTTAGCATGTGACAGGTGTGCAGTGCCCCTCATGCCATTGAACAATCTGTTCTAGGACCTTTTCATCGCCCTTTAATAACCAGACCCCAGCTGCTGGAGCAGTAGTACAGGAGGTGGGGTGCTTGCCTTGCATATAGTTGATCCAGGTTCAGTCCCCGGCACCCTGAGTACAGAGCCAGGAGACAGCCCTGAGCACAGCTAGGTGTAAACTCCCAGAAACCCTCAAAAAAAGCCATGTCTCTCGGGGCAGGAGTGATAATACGGGGTGGGGGGGCAATTGCCTTGCACAAGGCTGACCAGGGGTCAATCCCCTGCACCCCATAAGGTCCCCTGAGCCTGCCAGGAGTGACCCCTGATTGCAGAGCCAGAAGTAAACCCTGATCACTACTGGGCATTGTCCCCCCAGACAAAATCCAGAGCAGCAAAAAACACCAAATAATAATCAGGTCCCATTATCAGTGGCTCCTGAGGACCTCCCCCCCTTCCCCCCATCCTGGCTCTGGCAACCTCTAATTAGACTTTGTTTTTCTACATAT